ACGGGATATTTGCGGTAGGTTCCGCGATCGTCAGTCAGTCTCGGTACGATGCTCGACGCGCGTAGAAAACAATCGATACGCTAACAGTGATCTCCGCCGACATTGTTGCATGCGGCGTTCTCCCGATCCTCATAAACGATCGCGATAACTTAGTGAATCATTATTGCAGACTATTATGACGTAACGAGATCGAAAGCTCGCACGAGTGCAATTCTAATGTAACTGTGATTACACGAAGCGGACGATACCTACGCTGCACGCCCCGTTCGCACCTTGACGTTCGTTTAGCGACACTGATCAAATCGCAAGTCAATGATATCGTGCTCGAACATTTCGTACAAATCTCCGAAGTGACTGTTTTATCCAACCAGTGGAAAGTAAACCACGGCAATCGTAAAGATTCATTAGCAAGGAAATAGTTCCGCCGAGAACTGGTTCGGTGGAAACGCGCGCAGCGTTACGACGCTGCCATAACCAGCGATCCGAGCACGACGGGAACAGTTCTCGTTTTACGATTGTCTTCTCGCTGCAATCGGAACGGTCGATACCAATTTTTCATCGCGAAGGAAACCGTTCGAAGACCCGGAATTTCTGCCGGCTATCCGTGCAATTACCAGCAGCTTCGTATCCTATCGACGAGAACGATCGGACCAGATGCAAAGGAAACATATGCCGCAACAGTATGCGTTTGGCGTCTTTATTGCGATAATAAACGCACGTGCAACAGCTCGATCAATCGGAAATTCACGCCTCGTCGTTATCGCGACGTGTCCGCCGATTTGTTGATGGAAATTGATCGAGCACAAAGGCGGCGATAATTTGTGCAAGTCGCGCGCGGGACAATCGCGCGAGGATCGATCTTTAAATCGCGCCATCGGAAATTCCAATCCTAACCGGCAGGATCGGCAAGATCGGCAAGATCGGCAAGATCGGCAAGATCAGCGGAATTGGCAGAACTGTTCGATTTCGAGGCGGGAGTTCGTTCTGCTTACATTTCGCAGCGTGCGGCATCGTCGCCGATCGGACGGGAAGACATCGACGCGCGCGATGTTTTCCAGCGGATCCAATTATATGCTCTCCACGCATCCTCGTTCGTCTTCGATCGACCTTAATTTCTATTAAGTCGACGCATTGTCAGTTGTTCGCGGCCCGCAATTAGCGGTCGAAATAATTCCGCGCGGCTAAAGACAGTGCACCAAAACGGTGGCAAACGCTTCGTTTCGTCGAACAACGACGTTACCGTTCTTCCATCTGTCTCGGAAGACCGATCATCGCGTTTTGTCGGAACCGATCCTGCGGAGCCTTGGTTTCTAAGGTTTGAACGATTCGTCAGGTTCGCTTTGTTCCCCCGAAATTGGTCCAACATGGTCCCGCAGTACACCGAATACGACGTCTGGGGAAACGACATTTGGAGCATCAAGATTCGCAAGAAGAGCCCCAGGTGGTTTTTTCTTTTGTGTAACCGTCCGAAATAAAGCGTTACCGCGATCGTGACGCGATCTATGAGCAAAGATGACGGGGGGATAGATCGCGGGAATCGCGGGCCTCGGGTATCGTATTTTCTCTAGTCGATCGGTGCCCGCCGGATGCAATCTGGTTTTCTCTTGTGTAACACGTGTAGCGGAAAACGGTCTTTGACTCGAGATCGTCGACTTGACACCCTCCGCTGAAATTATATATTGGATTTAAGAAACTGAACTACAGCTGGGACAGAAACATTGACGTATCGGACGTACGAAATATTGTTTAGCTGGAACCGAAGCGGTGGATTCGTCGTATTTTCGTGTAGGATTTTTTAATTAGAAGAATAAGTGATTTTGCTTGTATTTATTGTATGTACTTGCTATTTTTAGTTCCTGATTTTTTCAGTCGATGTGAAGAATTTATATTTTGCATGGAAATTCGCGTTGTAGTTTTCTATCAATTTAGAGATTCATATCGAAATGTGATATTTAACAAATTTCAGTTGAAATGCGGTATTTTGTAAATTCAAATTGAAGTGTGGGATTTTACAGATTAAAATTAAAACGTGAAATTTTAATTCCACTTGAAACGTGATATCTTAGAAGTTACAGTTAAAATGTGAAATGTGTATAAATTCAAATTAAAATGTCAGATGTTTACGAATTCAAATTAAAATGTCAGATGATGTTTACAAATTCAAATTAAAATGTCAGATGATGTTTACGAATTCGAATTAAAATGTCCGATGTTTACGAATTCAAATTAAAATGTCAGATGATGTTTACGAATTCGAATTAAAATGTCCGATGTTTACGAATTCAAATTAAAATGTCAGATGATGTTTACAAATTCGAATTAAAATGTCCGATGTTTACGAATTCAAATTAAAATGTCAGATGATGTTTACAAATTCGAATTAAAATGTCCGATGTTTACGAATTCAAATTAAAATGTCAGTTGTTTACAAATTAAAATTAAAATCTGTAATGTTACAGATTCAAATCGGAATGTGAAATTTTACGAATTCAGTCGACCTCAAAAATCTAACAATCTGTTTCCATGTTCATCCGAACGCGATTTTACAAAAGGAAGCCTTCTCCCTGTAATGATCTTTCGAAAGTCGATTTGCGATTTTCTATCACGGTTTCAGCGTACACTAACGAGTGTGAAGTCGGTATTAAAAGTTCAAAGGCGCAAAAAGTAGAAACGAGTTGCAATTATAATCTAGTAATTCTTTAATTTTGTAACGTAGTTAATTGGAGGAAAAATTGCCATAAATTGATTGCCACAATATTTGGCATAATTTGGCGATACATAACAGTTTATTCCATAAAGTACAACTAAACGATATCCTTTTTTCTTTGCATTCTATATCGCGGATCGTGTTCTAGAAAACATTAGGCGAAAAAACGAGGCAAAGTATGTACACCGAAATGCTGCTGGCAAATACGAGATTCAATTTTCGCTCTGCTGGTGAAAATATGCGTCTGTATATTTTTCCGCAAACACAGAGTTATCTATCCTACGTTGGTCAGCAAATAAACAGGTTGCAAAACGTTCGTGGCTCGAGCGGATGTACCGGGTGATCGACGAACCTGGGATTATATTCGGAAGATTTGCACTCTTATAAAAAAAAGTCGAGAGGTTTGATCTTCGAGTTGGTAAATTTCAGTCTGATATTGTTCCGTCGCAGGTGCATATTTTAGCGTTCCAAGAATTCAGTGATATTTCGATGTAACTTTCCAATCACGAACGTTATCGAATTGACATTTGTTCTGAAGGATATTTAAAGATAATAGATTTCCGGTCATACATAATGTGTGTGCAACACAGCGGTCATTCTGCATATTTAATAGTTAATATTCTTTGTATATAAATATGATATAACTTTTTTCTCCGCAACGACAGATATCGATTATAGAACTTTTTAATCAAATAGGACAAGAGAAAAATTGTTCGTTCAGTAATATAATTTTGTGAATTAACAGCTGAAAGAGCACAGTTCGTTTTTTTTCTAAATGCAATATGCCAATTTATTTTCCCGAACAATTCTTACCGAATTTATAGTTAGAAACGTTAGTAGTCGATATTAATTTGACAGTTGATAATTGATAATTGAAATTTCGTATCGATCTCTCAGAGTTAGTGGCGTCTGAATATGTTTATAACGTATAAAAATCGATGAGCAAATATGACGTGTACAGATGTATCGAGAAAGGTTATTTTTCTGACGTCGTTCGGAAAGAAATTTCCCATAAATAGTTCACTTTTTCAATAGTTGTTGTATTTTCATGGTGGAAGAACATGCATTTGCGACAGTCAATGCTTCCCTTGTCCCATAAAGGGGAATCAGTCGCTGAAATAGTAAAAGAAGTTATGCAATATCTTCGAAAAAGGTATTTTATCAGAGCGTCTAATCCTCTTCAAACAATTCTTCAAGCACATAGTTTGCAAATTCTAGAGAAAATTACGCTTCGAACTCTATTCTTTCATCCTTTGAGTCGATTACTTAAACGAAATTAATTCAACTTAGTCCAACCTTCCAAGAATATTCTTTACGAATAAGATTTTTCAGTAATATGCTCAGGAGCCAATCAACGCAAGTCCATTAGCCTTAAAATTGCACAATGTTTATTATAATTAAACAAGGAACAATTGATTTCGATATTTATTAATTTATTAATTATTTTATTCAACTTTTTGTATTTTTTTATTTCGTTTAGCCATTCCGTGGTCGATATAAGTGCTGCTATCTATTGTTTATTTATGAAGAAGTCTACTATTTTTATTTATCGACCGAAACATTCTACGATAAAGATGTGTTTCCACTGTGTAACTTATTTTCGTTTAATAATCGGGAAAATCGAAAATATACAAGTGGTATACGATAAAATGAAAATACATAAAAATGAACAACTAATTACACTGAATCGTTGCAACCTAACTTTGGACGATTTGAACTCGATCGATGATCATAACACCATTCTCGGTTTCGTTTAATCAATTACGAATAGATAACGAATTCGTTAAATCGTTTTTTTTTAATTGAATTTCTATGGAACAGAGAATTCGAGTAACGTGTAACGCATTAACCCGTTAGGTGTCCACAGTACACTAATTTCTCCCTTGGGAAGAGGAGATACGATTATTCGAGTCTCGCGACTCGTTCTTACAGTAACCGATTGTCAACAACTATGAAAACGAGACGCAAATTGTCTATTTTTATGCGCAATCTGAGCGCGAATTACGGAGAAATTACTGCACACGTTTCACATTATTTATTTATTTAAGCGACATTTCTCAGCAATAAAGTTAATTAGTTGACGAAGACGGCGAACTCGCCGATTTATCATCCCATTTATTACCGGACATCTTTTATTGTCAGGCGCCCGCGAATTTATAAAACATCATTTTGCATAATTATACGTTCGGCCGGCTCGCGGTCTCGCTTTGATTGCCGGCCGAGAAAAACGAGAGAAGAAGCGTCACGATTAGTTGGACAGGATCGTTGACGGTTCCCGCACTTTGTGTTCCAGTCATCTTTCTAAACCGCTCAGCAGAAGTACACCATCCATGGCAGCTGGTGGTGCTGTACCAGTCGCCCCAGGAAAGGTTAGCAAATCTTCGTCCACGTCCTCGCCAACGACTACCAGCAGCGCCAGACAGAAGAAGTTCCATAGGCATTTCTCTCAGGTAATTGAAAGAAAGCTTTATATCCGCGCGCGTTCTCTCCTACGTCACTTTCACGACGCCGCCCTTAACCCTTTCGCTACGGGCGGGTTCTCCGTCGCGGTACTTCTGCTGAACAGAGCGCTGCGACATCACTGCACGCTACGCGACGGCGATCGTCAGCGGAAGTCGGTACTCCGCGGCGGTCGGCGGAGAACCTAAGCTGTTTGAATCGAATGAATTTTTCTCCAAAGGGTATTTATAAATAAAGGGTATTCCAGGGTATTTTATAACGTCTTAGCATGCGCTCTTTAATTTACAGTATGAGAGGAAATAACATTATGCAATATAATGCATCTTATGGAAAGCCACTATAGTGATCCGTAGTACCTCAGTGGCACCATATGGAAAGCCACTATAGTGGTCCGTAGTACCTCAGTGGCATCATATGGAAAGCCACTATAGTGGTCCGTAGTAGCGAAAGGGTTAATTAGATCGCGGCGTACACACGACGCCGTCTCCGCCAACCCTTTCACCGGAATTCATATCGTCGGGCTTGCCGTTGGTTTTCTTTACTTTTAACCTTTGAACCGCGGACGGCGAGCACAATGCACGCAGCTCGCTCGTCGTTCCAGTTTGTTGTACCTTCTGGGAACCTTTAATTTTTTCCTCTCAATTCGACGAACGTCTAGTACAAATTACAGCGTAGGTCACGTTGATTGCCACGAAACGCTCTTGAAGAGTCGAGTTTACGGGACGGAGTCTATGCGTGAAAGGCAGAGAGTGAAAATTCAAGACAATGAAGAGAAATCATTTTTTCCCAGCCAAGGGGTAGAATTGTTGTAAATATGCACAGCTTCGGAGTAGGCAGCTTTTACAAAGTAAACATGAATTTCAAGGATTGCAATGTTTTTTCATAATTTTTAAACAATTTAGAACGTACATTAGAGAGTATATTAGAAAATAGAAATGTACAAATACGATACGGTGTTAGGATTTTCTTTTTTAACCCTTTGCACTCGAGTGGCGACTTCGAGGCACCACTAAAATTGTTATATCACGGCTTCAAAATCATTTTTATATTATCAAAGCTTAGATTTCAAAAATTGTTAAAAGTGTAACTGTTGTATAAATCACAAAATGCACTTTGTCATATAAAATAATATTATATTATATTATTATATTATTATTATTATATTATTATTATTATATTATTATTATTATATTATTATATCATTATATTATATAAGATAGAAAAATTATTTCGGATTTATATTTAAAATAGCTTCGAGTGCAAAGGATTAATATACTCGGTGTCTCAGCTAAAGTAGACCAGATATTCTTTTACATCTTTTTCTGATATTTAAACGAACACGAAGATAAAAATATATTTGCATATTTCTACGTTCTATTGTTACTAATATAAAAATAGAGAAATACAGTGTTCTGTTAGGTTTTCGTTGAAATATCGCTAATCTCTTGTTGCTAATGCAGAAAATGTATGCGCAAGAAGCCGCAGTCTAATTAAAAAACATTTATCATCGAGTAGCTCGCGAGTTTGACAGTTTCGCAACAGATGGCATCGCATGTTTAATCGCGCGTTAAAATTAATGCGAACTAAGTAAAAACGCAAATGTGGACAAATTGACGGTAAACATATTATTTAGACGTACAAGCATAAACAAAGAAAATACAGCGACAATTATAGTGCTCGAGATAGTGGATCTCCGACGGAAACGAAATCGGCTTGCGTTTCTCGACTCTCGCAAATATTANCATATGGAAAGCCACTATAGTGGTCCGTAGTAGCGAAAGGGTTAATTAGATCGCGGCGTACACACGACGCCGTCTCCGCCAACCCTTTCACCGGAATTCATATCGTCGGGCTTGCCGTTGGTTTTCTTTACTTTTAACCTTTGAACCGCGGACGGCGAGCACAATGCACGCAGCTCGCTCGTCGTTCCAGTTTGTTGTACCTTCTGGGAACCTTTAATTTTTTCCTCTCAATTCGACGAACGTCTAGTACAAATTACAGCGTAGGTCACGTTGATTGCCACGAAACGCTCTTGAAGAGTCGAGTTTACGGGACGGAGTCTATGCGTGAAAGGCAGAGAGTGAAAATTCAAGACAATGAAGAGAAATCATTTTTTCCCAGCCAAGGGGTAGAATTGTTGTAAATATGCACAGCTTCGGAGTAGGCAGCTTTTACAAAGTAAACATGAATTTCAAGGATTGCAATGTTTTTTCATAATTTTTAAACAATTTAGAACGTACATTAGAGAGTATATTAGAAAATAGAAATGTACAAATACGATACGGTGTTAGGATTTTCTTTTTTAACCCTTTGCACTCGAGTGGCGACTTCGAGGCACCACTAAAATTGTTATATCACGGCTTCAAAATCATTTTTATATTATCAAAGCTTAGATTTCAAAAATTGTTAAAAGTGTAACTGTTGTATAAATCACAAAATGCACTTTGTCATATAAAATAATATTATATTATATTATTATATTATTATTATTATATTATTATTATTATATTATTATTATTATATTATTATATCATTATATTATATAAGATAGAAAAATTATTTCGGATTTATATTTAAAATAGCTTCGAGTGCAAAGGATTAATATACTCGGTGTCTCAGCTAAAGTAGACCAGATATTCTTTTACATCTTTTTCTGATATTTAAACGAACACGAAGATAAAAATATATTTGCATATTTCTACGTTCTATTGTTACTAATATAAAAATAGAGAAATACAGTGTTCTGTTAGGTTTTCGTTGAAATATCGCTAATCTCTTGTTGCTAATGCAGAAAATGTATGCGCAAGAAGCCGCAGTCTAATTAAAAAACATTTATCATCGAGTAGCTCGCGAGTTTGACAGTTTCGCAACAGATGGCATCGCATGTTTAATCGCGCGTTAAAATTAATGCGAACTAAGTAAAAACGCAAATGTGGACAAATTGACGGTAAACATATTATTTAGACGTACAAGCATAAACAAAGAAAATACAGCGACAATTATAGTGCTCGAGATAGTGGATCTCCGACGGAAACGAAATCGGCTTGCGTTTCTCGACTCTCGCAAATATTAGTTTAAAACTAGCTCGAGACTTAACGATGCCACACGTTTATGTAATAGATAATATCTGTCAAGTTTGTGCTGGATGGAATGATGAGACAGTATCGCGTCCGTCAACTCGGAAAACGTCGTTCTCTCCGACATTAAATAGAGTGTATTAATTTTCGAGCGATTCGCGATCTGCAACGTAAACGGCGTATCAAAGTCAGATACGAGACGGTGAAAAGACATTCGGAAAAAGTCGAACATTCGATACGGAAGAACCAATTATGCTGACGGCACGATAATTGGCAAATGCGACGCAGCTGTTGGGGAACATTTGCCGACCTTTATCTGCCGATATGTAAGTGAATTTTATCGTGCGCGATTGTAGGTGTGAGAGCCTCTGTAACCTTTGTTCAGTATTTTTTGTCGTTCTAATTGGCATAACGCTTTGATAAACGTCGATCACAATACTATAAATATTATAGACGGATTTGGGGATTGTTCGAGTGAGTTTTTATCTAGGTAATTATTTAATTTGATTCGCGAATAATTTGTTTTCTAAACAAGTGTTACTATTGCTTGTTTATTATGTATACTTATACTATTGCTGGTCTCGCGATTAGTTTGCTCACAAATCATTTATTTCCGAACAGTTTATTCGCAAATATATAATTCACTCGCGTATAAAATGTTATTCGTCTTTGCGAATGAAAATAATCGATTTAATAATCGATTTAATAATTGATTTAATAATTGGTTTAATAATTGATTGAATAATTAATTTAATTAATAATTGTTCGTTGATTATTGCCACGTATGAAACGTTGTTCCGCAATGCCATTTTTACCTGTGCGACTTGAAGAACGTTCTCAAAAGAACGTTCGCCCGTTTTAATAAAAATTTGATCCTCGTTCAACCAAGCTTTTTTCGCTTAAACGCAGTTATTCGTCATCCGAACGAATTTCGTCTAACCCTGAAGTATGTATTACATATATCGCGACACTTTACAGAATCGCGAGTACTATCTGAAAGTGTCGCCTCTTACGACACCTGCAGGTCAGTTTTCTATTCGTGCAAATTGATAACGGGCCTCAATGCTTAGAATCGTTGGTATCTTATCTGGCCGTTATCCAAGTTTTTTGTTTTCACGTAGAACGGTATATTTCCTTATAAAAATAACGAAAGCAAATAGTCGTAGGCGACACAACGTGTCTGGAATGCTAACGGCTTCGATGCTGCTATCACGGCGCAGGTACTAATGGACCTGAAATCAAACTTCTCCGGCGCAGCGAGGTCTCCTAATTACTCTCGTATATAGCTCAAGTGAAGTATCGCCTACATTTAAGAAATAAGAAGTGTTTTCGAGTGAATTACTTCATTGTAAGTCGAATGTACACCCATGTCGGCAAATATTGAGGGTTCCTTGCAGGATTACAGAGGTGTTGTAGTGAAAATCTTAAACTTTATGGTAATTCGGAACGGTTGAAGAAGTGTTAATTGCGGTAAGTTTTGAGAACGAGCGAGTCCGATTACAGTAAATTCTCTCTAATTGACGCACAGATTGTACGCGAAAATGGATAATTTGGGAACAGGAGATGCGATTATTCGAGCCTTGCGACTCGTCGTTTTCATAATTGTTGACAATCGGTAACTATAAAAACGAACCGCGAGGCTCGAATAATCGTATTTCCTCTTTGCAAATTGTCCATTTTCATTTCCAAGCCGAGCGTCAATTAAGGGGAATTTATCTGGTTTCAAAAGTGAGGTCGAAATATTTCTCTTTCAAATTTTATTCGAAACATTTCTCTTTTAAATTTTATACGAAATATTTATCTTTTAAATTTTATTCGAAATATTTCTCTTCTAAATTTTATTCGAAGTATTCCTCTTTTAAATTTTATTCGAAACATATCTCTCTCTCTTAAATTTCATTCGAAATATTCCTCCTTTGAAGTTCATTCGCAGAATTTATTCGAAATATTTCTCTTTCAAATTTCATTCGAAATGCATCTCGTCCGGGCAGGTTCAATGTTAAAAGTAAAAACAATTTCCATTCAGTTATGCGCCATGAATGTTGGACTAATGCTCCAATTATCTGCAATAATCTGCATAGTTACATAACGCTTTTAAGGAGCCGGTACACACGATTATCTTTGGACTTGGACATTTATTTATCAGGACACCACGATGTTCAACTTATGAGTTATTAAATATTGCCCGCGTTAACCTTCTACCTATCGCAGTTGCAAAGTGGAACGATTCAGTAAGAAACTTGAAAGCCTGCGCATTACGCTAGAAAGTAAAACGAATCGAACGTTGTTACAATGCATCATTCTAATCGGCATTTCGATAACCGTTTGGTCACCAGGTTGCTGCGGAAGAACGAGTATTGAACTACTACAGCTGCGCGCTGGTAGGCGACATCCTGCTCCAAGGCTACCTCTACATCACGCCGAACTACTTCGCTTTCTACAGCAATGTGTTCGGCTACGTAACGAAGTTGCTGATTCCGACGACCTCGGTGTTAAAGATCAGCAAGGAGAAGACCGCGCGAATCATTCCAAATGCGGTGGCGATCGCTACCGAGGGCGAGAGGCATGTTTTTGGGTCTCTTCTGTCGAGGGACTCGACTTTCAAGCTGATGAAACAGGTTTGGGACGCTGCCATGGAGCCGCAGCCGGTTCTGCCTTTGGAGAACAACCCGGACACGCCGGTGGTCGACGACTCCGAGGTGAATCACGAGGAAGATGATTCCAGTATGTCCGAAAGCGGGACGGATCTTAATTCAAGACCGCCGACCGTCTGCACCGACACCGACGGTGTTTCACTGACACCTATCACCAGGCTCAGTCTACCGCAGCCCGTAATGTAAATACCGTTCCTCGGTTTATTCACGCAGATCATCCCCATTCGCCTCAATTTGCATTTACAGTAACATCTTCGTTCACCTTGAAGATACGATAGCTGCGGAAAGTAGTTTTGTCGAGATGTTAAACTAATTAGTTTGGTAGACGATGAGGAGACAAATGTAACAAAAATACAACCGAGTATGCTTAGGATTATTTAGCATTTTATGTATCAATTTTTGTCACAACGTAGTCTTTAAACAACTTCATCGAGAGTTCAGAGGGTATGCAATCGTGTAAGCCTGATAAAATGGAGGGCAATTAAAATATAGTTTTTGATGCATAAGGATACTGTAGAAAAGGAAGATTTTTGTACGGAACATCGAGCAAAATTTTAGCTTTACTTTCATAAAGTAACCAACGCAAAAAGTGTGAACAAAGATATATTCGGTATGAACGCCCTTGATAATATGAATATATGCCTCCTTTCAACATTGGTCTAAAAATGAGGAAGTTTTATTTTAATTTACATTTATCTGTTAGTAGAGCAATTTTTTAAATATGGTTAGTTTAATCTATAAAGAGAAAGGATAAAACTTTCAAAATAAGTTCGAGCGAATTATGAAACGGTTCGCCATCGTTCACCCACATCAATGACCGTTTTAAAATAGAAAAATTAACGATTCCCTTTTTGTATTTTCAGTAAGGAATCACAAGTGGTGCTACCATCGATCCCAGCAACATCAAGCAGATCCGGTGTCTCTTTATCCTTGTTCACAGATGGACTGAAAACAAGCACAGTGATAACTATTCTCGTAGCCCTGTTAGCAGCTCTCTACGTGTCTGCGGCTCTGATGATGATCCGCATCGACAGGCTACACACAGCGTATATCAACCATCCCCTCGTTTCGCCGGAACGTCTCACACAGGATCGGCTTTTGCACTATCTAAATACAAATCTTGATCAAATAATAAAGGTAATATCCTGGAAACCTTCCTCGATTCTATTTCAAACGTTGCTTTAAATAACGAACGGTTCCAAAAGTAATTGTGTTAACAAAAATAAAGCGAAACACCCTGTACAGTGTTAATTAGAGGTGTCACAAATAAAACTGGTTGCGTTTCAAGAGGAACGGTGAAAAGGGGATCTTGAAATGGTCTCCTAATTACTTTCAAGTTCAACTAAATGATAACATACAATTCCATTTAAGAAACAGAGGTTACTATTAATTCAAACAAGTTTTAATCGAAACACTTTTTTAACACTAAACTCGCCGAACTCTGAAAATAACCACCGTGTATTGCTTTATAATCCTGATAAGGCTGTATTAATTTAGACCTTTCGCCATTTTTATATAATATAATTTATCTAATCTAATATTTCAACAACTTTAAAACAAAAAAATATGACACAGATCATTATGATGATGATTTAGCGTTAAATAACTATAGTTTTGGAAATAACTGTATGGTTAAATTAAAATGGAACACCCTGTATCCTTGAATACATACAGAGGAGCTTGATGTTGTCTCGATGTTGTCGTCGAATGATAAACACTGATCCTTTGGGTTATCGTTCCAGGTGAGACAGAGTTTGCAGATGTTGTCACAGCAGTTCGTGTCAATGAGCCAAAGCAGCGAGACAGACCCGGCCGTGTCCGCCGGTCCGATGGAACCCGAAGACGCTCCGAGTTAGCCCCCGGCAAGGCTGAATAATTTAACGCAACCAAATAATACGAGTCCCCGTCGCCTCGCTAGCGTATGAAGCGTCTCGTATTAATTAATAACGTCGTTGTCTTCGTTGTCCGCGTGAATCATTTCGACGCGCGATCACAGGCCCGACCGACTAATTGACAAAGTCGCTTCGACGGTCCTCAAGAAAATAGGCATTATTATTGTTAGCGTAAACCTAGACTTCCGCGGCTCTGAAAATAGAAATGGCGTCGTTACGCGGCGAACCGTCGCGACGGATTATGTAAACAAAAAGAAAAAACAAAGAAAGCAACAACAAAAAATACAGGCGAAGAGGAGCGCGTGAGAACGAACGAACGAACGAACGAGGAGAAACGACGGAAGGTAGGGAAAACTTTGTATAAGATCATTCTAGATCGCGTATGCGTAACTCGATTCGACTTTCAGTCACGCTTGCAGGTATTAATTAAAAGAGACCACGGGAGGAACTGATGCTTGAAAGCGGGAAGAGATACAAAGCGAAACCGCATGTAAACAATATTATTTGTATGCGCGCGTAACGCGCCCGCGTAAAGCAATTGTACGTTGTGTATTTTGATGTTAATTTTCAATCGACACACAAGATTAATATAGAGCGCGTACGGCGAACGAAGGGATTTTCGTCTGTTTACTTTCTTTTTTTATTTGAACTAGTCACATATACATATATATATGTATACATTATATATATACATATATGCCCCCACATACGGCAAGGGTATACTGAACAAAGTGGTATATATATATATAAATACAAATAATATAAAAGAAAGCTATATATATATACATAGAGTAATGCATATTTCGCGATTACTTGTTGATTATTATGTATTCGAACTAGTTGGGGCACTATCTTTTTAATTGGCGCAGGTGTTCTGCAGCGTAGAGCGAGCAACGGTTACTTTCCGCGTCCAATGGAACAAAAAGATTTCTATGTTGATTACGTGGTGGAAGATGATTACGTGAAACGGATATTGCGTGCCCGCGCGGTATTACGGAAGCGATCTGCGCGCTAAATTTTGGCTGATTCGATCATTCGAATTGTTGCGCCTTTGCGAACGAGGGTTGCAGTTCCCGCGCACACTGGTGTTCCTACAAAATTTCATCACCGTTGTGTCGGTGTCACGACCGCGGGATTATTTTTTGGTTCCTTTTCCTTTTTCATCGAGTCGAGACGACGAGGAAGCGCGAAAGTGTTCGCGAAATGCAGGGTGTTCGTGTCAGGGTTTGTGTCAAGTTTGCACAGCGCGTTAAGTGGGTCGAGTAGGTGAACACAGAAGTCACACGAATGCTGTGTCCCAGAAAATGCTTTAATTAAATGTTCCACGATTTCAGATGACCTTCTAATGTTAAAGCTTTTCGTAACGTTACCCGTTTTTACCTTTTATGTACATACGTATCATATTTTACCGGTAGAGATAGCGTTTCTTTTCCTTATAATGATTGAAATACTTGTTCATTTTTTGTATAGCGTATTGCAATATTGTTTCTGTCATTTAATTATGATCATGTTATCGGTCGGTATAATAGTGGTTCGTTTTTAGCAAAGATTTGTGAAAATTTTTTGTTTGAAAATTTGTTGAATAGGTGTTATCGTAGGTGTTACCTAATCGGCCATTTTGCTACATCGTGGAATCTTGACACCAAACTCGTGCACTCTGTATATCTCATAGCACTAATATATTTCGATACGATTGCACATATGTTCTTATATGTAAAGCAAGACACATTTGGGCGAAGTGCTAATTATATTTGCGGTGAAACTGTGGAATTACAAAGAACGGGAGACTTGACTGTGATAGTAGGATCGAGGACGCATTTTGTTAAAAGACGGCCGCGTTTATCGGTTTATTGCTGTTGCATCTTGTAGAAAGCATTGAAGAAGATAATGGTTGCCTCGATCCGGACCACGTGACATTCGTCGTATAAACGCGGCCGTATTTTCGAGATCACGTGAGGGGGGAATATAAGAGATGTGCTGTTACATTCTTTAGCTATATTTATAACGAAAAAGTGTATATGTACATCAAACGAAATTCACTTAAACGATTATTTCTGTTCATTTATCATTTATTGCGATTAAATATGTGAATCTATCGCGTTTACAATTAATTTATAACAATTTCAAGAATACCCTAAAATATATTTTTTATCGTCAATGGTTGTGGAATGTATTTTATATTGTACACCATGGATTCGGACTGTATGAGAGCAATACGGTGAACGAAGTAGAAGCAATTATGGGAGAAACTTGCAAAACGGTAAAAATTACTTTTCATGATTGCTTGTAATCTGTAATGCACAGTAATGACTTATTTCTATGGTAAATAAAAGTTGATTTTCAAATTCTTACGGAATATTTTTATGTTGTGCATCGATGCTAATCATGAATTACTTAAACATATTTTGTTGCCAAGAATTTCTGATCATTTTTACAAGATCGTCGTTTCACGTAATAATTTGTTCTACTGTATATTCTACATGATTTTCATAACGCCGAGCAAATTTTCATTTTAAATCGTCGTAAACCAATGAGATTATTTCATTAAAGAGGACGAAGAAGAAGAGAAGTGTGATTTTCCCGACGCGTAAGAGATCCATGGGGGTAAAGTGTATATTGCGGATAACATAAAATGGGAATTATTTAATACGTGGGCTGGCGATACATGAACTTAATTTATTTCGTAGATTTTACGAATCTGCAGTTTACACATACTTGCACAGTTTTAAAGTGTCTTTATGTGTTTTATGTGCGCTGATTGATTTGATAAAAATTTCTATTTGGTACGCCTTTTATTGCGTAAGCGAGACCGAGGGTTGAAGGGAAACTTGTGCCTGGCACGGTGTGCCATAGAAAAGGAAAACTGATTGCATTCTAAAATGAAAATCCGCGAGGACAAAACGTGAGAACACTTTTAACGATGAAACAAATCATCGAGATTCGTTTGCTACCTATACTTGTCAAACCTTATATTTTCGCGTGTTGCGAAGGTCAGATTTCTTTCGATGTCGAATTCAAAGGGAAAGGGATGTTCGCGTACGAGGTAATTGGATGATAATTGCCACTGAAAGAAACAAACTTGGAAAAAAGTGAACGCGTTAGAGCCAACGTTTGTGCCAAATTTCGGGAATCATTGGACTTCCCGCATAAAAACGAATATCGTCTCGTATTTGCGACGAGTAAATTCATACGGTTCGAAAATTGAATTCGGAGGTTCGAAAATAAAAAAAAAAATAAAAAAAATGTGTTCAGCAATGGCGATGATTATCCAGTTGATCCAGCTAGAGATTGTTCCATGATAACGAATTCAGCGAGAGCGAATTTATGCCGTACACAGGGGGCGATAATTTTCCCTTTCTGTTTCTACGTAATACTGTTTGCCTTACTGTAACAACTCTAGACAGTTTAGATGGATGCTCAACTTACGATCCATTCTCGTTAGAACGTAATCGTACATAAACAGCTTTTGATTTGTACTTGTTGCGCGTAACTTGTTGTGGAAACGACAGACATCTCGACTTTTAGCTGTACCTATTTGGAATCCGTCGTCGAGTTCAATTATATAAATCGATTTACGCATAATGAATGGATAATAGGAAATGAACAAAGTTGAGTTGATTGCCACGCGTATGTTAATTGTACCGTGCAAATGTTTCTTCAGATATCTCAGTAATTACCATGTAGTCGATTTGAAACTGAACTTTGTCCATGAAAGTCAGTAATATCAAAATCTTAATCCGTTAAGCCACACGCGAGATAAAAAGTATAACTCAAGCTTCATATAAGAAATTAGCCGTATTTTACTATAATTTAGAAGAGACAGAAATGTGAATGGTACTACAGCGATGTTACAACAAAAATTTGGACTGTCGTTCTAGAAGAAAAAAAGAAGAAAAAATAATGGTGTGGCCCTAACGGTTAAGAGAACAGTGAAGCAAATATATTTGTTACGGGGCGACATTTGAACTTCTAACAATGCGTTGTGAATTTTCCGAGGAACGTTTTACATGTTTGTACTTTCCGGTAACATTTACTATTACGTAGGAGGCTAAGGTCATGATTATCTTTAGGACAGCTTAAGTTAAATTGCAAAATACTGTATATTTGTTTCCACGGATTTGTTCTGGAAGGGAAAGATTTTGGCTTTTCCTTCGCACACCGTCGTGCTGCATGGCGTATTCAGTTGCAAACAGCAGAGATCATATCGGAGTACCGTCTGTTAAATAGCATGATTTCGTAAATTGTCTAATTTTGTTACGTTCTACTGTTAATATTATGTGTTTGAAAGCAACTCGAACTCGTTCAGTTTACAGAGTGATAGTCTATTTACTGGTGCTTGAAGAGCCTTGACGCGTGCCATTTTACGATTAGGTGCATATACTCGATGAAATATGTACATTTTTATTACGTATGATTTCGTTTCTATTCGATTGCGTTACGTCGATCAGGTTCGAAGATGTATAGCTATGTTAAACGATTGTGTCCGTATCAGATAAATTTGTTACTCTGAAACAAAAGACGTCTTTAGAATGCATTTATTCGCGTGCCGAATTCTCTCGATAAGTTTTTGCGCGAAGAAAATTAGAAACGGGAGCAGGAATGATGATGGTTGAGGGGAGACCGTGAAATTTGAAAATCACAGACAGACCAATAATTTACAACATAATTTGTGTAGTTCGATAACACGGAGCGCAAATAAATTTATGAAAAATTAAATGTTCTTCTGTTTATTACCGTTCCGTTTATCAGCGTCCTTCACGTATTTTCATGTGTAATAAATTCGAGAATTGATAACAGCAAGCCACGCAAAGAAATCGTGCATTTTAAACATATACGAGCGACTTTATGACACAACCTAACGTTTAGGTTGGTTGAAGACTCAGAGCTGATAATTAGATCACCATATAGTTTCCAAAAAGAATATCACAATTATTTCAAATAAATAAAATAATAATTTCTTTCATCGAATATAAATCCTACTTCACGAATTTCAAAGCTCTTTGAAAATTTAAAAATAGCGCTATTTGTGGCAAGTGGTTCGCCTCTGTGACGAAATTTCGAAGCTCGCTTTAGGAGTTTGTACAGCGCCAATTAATGTAGCGGCGAAACGCTCAAACTGTTAGCCAAAATCGTCTGTCAGTAATTTGGCTAGCAGTTTCAACGTTTTGCCGCAAGGGGCGCCACCGTTTGGTTAGCAGTTTCAGCGTTTTGCCACCACAGTAATGGCGCTGTATGGACTCAGAACGGAGCTTCTAGATTTCACCGCAAGGGGCGCCACCGTTTGGCTAACAGTTTCACCGTTTTGCCATTACACTAATGGCGCTGTACGGACTCAGAACAGAGTTTCTAGATTTCACCGCAAGGGGCGCCACCTTTGGCTAGCAGTTTCAGCGTTTTGCCACTAGACTAATTGGCGCTGTACGGACTCCGAACGGAGCTTCTAGATTTTGCCGCGAGGGGTGCTACTATCGTCAAAACAGCAATTGATTCTTGCCGGATTTTACATTGCCTCTTATGGGGAAAACGGCAGGAATCATGTGTTCCGAGATCTCGTACTGGAACATGAAATGGAAAATTGTTTATAACTAATTAATTACAACTCAAATATGCGAAAGATTATTACAGATATGTTGGAAAAGATTCCTTTGAACATTTCTGCAACCCAAAATGCGGGACCCTGCAATAACGAATGAACATTTGTTGTATTTATTATTCTTATTATTCTTATTACTCTTATTACTCTTATTACTCTTATTATTCTTATCATTTGTATTATTCTTATTATTATTATTCCAATTATTTTTATTACTCTGGTTTATAATTGTTATTTCTATACTCTCAGAATATTTTTTAACCGTGAAATCTCCCTGTTAAATGTAAACTTTCACTATAATTTGAAAATATATTTTCCTCTATTATACTAAATGTATTTAAAATAATTCTAGAATAAATTGACTCGCATCTTTGCACAGATCACACAAAACTCGCGAAGGATTATGCGTATATTCTTATCTTTGCGTTCTTATTTCTGCGTAGTCATATCTTTCATTTTAGGCTGCCGGTATCGGTCTTGTGGATAACCGCAACATCCCTATGTAACTGCATTTTGACGAACGATATACTAATTGGTGATGCATACTAAACCGATAAGATAATTTTTGTATTATATTTCCTCCGTGCCAGAGAGGAAATGAATATAGGCGCTAGTTTAGCTGACGCTTTCTTTCATAATGTACAACAAATTACAATATGTACATATGTATTATTACATTATAATAACAAAAGTTATCGTATAAAGTTATTTAACTTTATTAGCGCATCTTTAAAAGCAGAAAAACATGCCAATATTAAATGTTTCGAAAATGATGACTTTAACGAAGCAATAACCGAATATTATTATATTCATATATTATATATTATATATTATTATATATATAATATAATATTATATTAAATTATATTATATATATATAATATTATATATTATTATATTATATTATTATATTCATATTTATTTGTGTTTACGGTATTTTGCTTCTCAAATGTCAAATTATAGAACTATAAATTCATGAATATTTGGAAACCGACGATTATCGTAGGCCTTTTATCTCCGATAAAATAAATCGTACATTCGATGCGAATGATTGTTTAAAAATAAGAAGTGCTCATTCATCTTAACGCGATATTGAAGCCTGTACACCTGCCAATTGCTGTAATCGGATGGTGTAGTCAGCTCGAAGGAAGCTGCGTCTCGTATAAAAAGCGAGTGAGCCACTGCGAATGCCAGTATAGCGATGAAAGTGTAAGTTGACTGTTAATCGGTACCGCCTCTTTCGACATCGTTTCTTAAATCGCAGCACCACTTGACATCATTACTGCCAGTGAACTTCTACATTCGAAATATTACAACACTTTTCAATTTTTCTTAGTGATCAGTGACAAACGAAAATATTTGTAAACTTACAAAACGCGTACACATCGTCCGTTTCTGGTGTTTATTTTTATCCGAGCATTGTTTACCATTTATGTAATACCTGATCGCTCGATATAAATTACTTTATTTTTTATTTTAACTTTGTTTCATCTTATTCTCTAAATTCAGTTTATTTTATTTGAAGTTTAGCTTATTTTCATTTATTTACATTTATGAAATAGCTGATCGCTCGATATAAATTACTTCAGTTTTTACTTTAACTTTGTTTCATCTTATATTCTAAATTCAGTTTATTTTATTTGAAGTTTAGCTTATTTTCATTTATTTACATTCATGTAATACCTGATCGCTCGATATAAATTATTTTAGTTTTTACTTTAACTTTGTTTCATCTTATTCTAAATTCAGTTTATTTCATTTGAAATGTAGCTTATTTTCTGCTTCAATCGATTTGCTATTAATTCAATTGCCTAGTTGTCAGGCACAAAGTTTGTTTATATTCAAATTTATTTAAATTCTTTCCGATATATCGGTGACATCAATATTCTTTGCTACATTATAGGTACCTTCTAAAATACTCAACATCGAACAGTAACTGATAACGGTAAGTAGAATTTATAATGTTTAAATTAACCGCTCGCACTCTATTGATTATCGTAATGTACGAACGGCAGAATTATTTCGCGAACACGGAGAGAATCGGTTTTGTTGTTTTCTAAAGACAGGAAACTTGGCGAAGCAATTCTACTATGCTAATCGTACGCGACCAACAGTTATGCAAATTAGATCATCGAAGTACATACCGGTTCTATCTTTAGCGAAGAAAACGTATCCTGTTAAAGGATATCGGATTGTGTCTATAGTCGAACTCCAAGCGTTTCTTCGCAGAAATTCGTATTATCGGTGACAACAATTAACAGAATTATTCCACTACGTGCAGGAATAATGTTGCTTTTTATCTAATCGTTTAACTTCTGTTTATACAATCATCCACAATTCAACTCTTATACTGGTTATAATTATAATTAGAAACTAGGCCAATGGTCAAAGAAGAAATAATTTCTCTTCAATAATTACATAAACCAACACTTATTTTATTTACAATTTTTATCGGCTCTGAAACGTTGAACAAGCACTCGAGACTCGTTCTTTACCGTCACAATGTTTACCAAAAATTAGTTTCGAGAAAATGTCCAATTTTCGACATTTAAAATAATTTCTGCACTATAAATCGTGCGAGGTTTCGTTAAATGATTTATAGCGTGCAAATTATATTAAATGTCGAAGATTTGAGATTTGTTCGAAATTCAATTTTGGTAAAAATTGTGACGGTAAAGAACGAGTAATTGTTATCAATTAAACTTAAATATATCCACGCATGAAACGACGCGCGATCCGTATTAATAATGATATAATAATGCTACGGTTGTCGTTCGTAAGTGACAGTTTTCTAATTTGCATGCCGGAGCATTTATTTTTAGCATTATCAGAAATTTGATAAAGAACGACGCGCGGATAACATGTAACGAACGTGAATGACCATTAGCAGCGTTTGTGTAGTGGTCTGGGATTGCGTAACACTTTTACGAACGAAGCATTTCGCCGAACAAACCGGTGTGAATCACTCTCCCGAGAGTCATCGATGTAAGGTCGATACCAATCCAGGGTGAAAACAGGCTTCTTTGCTAAGGCAACTCGCGTTCTGGTACATATCCCGGATATTTACGTAACGTCTCGATGAATCAAAGATAAATTCCGTGCTACCAAGTCCGGCGGAAAAGACGCGTGGAATTTGGGTGCAACCTCTCTGTCCACCACGATGATTGCATCCGCGCGATTCTTCTTACAGAACGTTGGGAAAGTCCAGCTGCTTATTCGTTTTCGACACACGTCGACACAGTTCCGAAGCGTCGCTGTTAACATTTTTCTACCACGTTTGGAATTAATTGATCGCTGTTTGGAATGTCGCTCGCGGTGACAGCCGTTATTCCTTAGCATAGACATATTTTAATGCAGCCGCGCCCGTTAATATTCGGACACCTTTTATATAATATAATAATAATATAATATTATATTATTATATATATTATAATAATAATAATATAATATTCGGACAACACTTTTTGATAATTTTAATGCAGTCGCGCCCGTTAATATTCGGACACCTTTTATATAATATAATAATAATATAATATTATATTATTATATATATTATAATAATAATAATATAATATTCGGACAACACTTTTTGATAATTTTAATGCAGTCGCGCCCGTTAATATTCGGACACCTTTTATATAATATAATAATAATATAATATTATATATTATATTATTATATATTATTATATTATATATATTATAATAATAATAATATAATATTCGGACAACACTTTTTGATAATTTTAATGCAGTCGCGCCCGTTAATATTCGGACACCTTTTATATAATATAATAATAATATAATATTATATATTATATTATTATATATTATTATATTATATATATTATAATAATAATAATATATTATTCGGACAACTTTTTGAGAACTGGACTAAACGACTTCAATTTTTTTTTTTAAGATGGTTTAGCGACCATTCTGCTAGATTATATGCTTTTCTTTTTAAATTTTGCTACCGTTTAGAATGACAAAATAAAATAAAAAGCTCTCGTTCTTTAACTCTTTCTATCCGAGCCTACAACGAAAATTTAAAAAATGTGTTTCGTAGATCTCGGTTAGTTAATTTCACCGAAATCGGTCGATCTTGGCGCGAGTTGTAAACAATTAAAGACTAGGAAAACAAAATTAGGAAAAAGGTCAGAAAACATGAACTCTAATTTTTCTATTTCAAGTAATTACGAGTTTCGAAATAGAGATTATCTGGCCAGTGGCTAGTAATTTGCACAATGGGCTTGAAAATTGCCCGAATTCGCTATAATTAACAAACATCGTATTCTATCGCGTATCCGGAGATATATTCGATGTTAACACGATGCTTCGCACAGGATAACAAATTGTGAAGCATCTTCGATATATATGTACGTACATTCTTCGAAGCGCGTTCTTCAAACAGGAAGTTACTATCCGGTGCGATAAAAAAGATTTCTTCAGTTCCGATGCAATTCTTGGTGTGTCAGATTTCGAAGAAGAATCTACAATAAGGGACAACCTGTATTCATTTACACCTTAATGACATTCCCGTGCCTCGTCATGCACGAAAGTTTCTCGCAGATGATCCATCTACAGGGCATTCCAATTGATTTGTACTTGTACTTTAAAAATTTTCTATTTGAAAAAGGAAGCGAGCCTTCGAACGCAGGCAATTTATCCTGACCGTTCACAATTATTTGACGATAATTATTTACTAAAAATCTTTTAATTCGACAGCGGATTTTTATGCAAAATAAAGATAGTCTGCATCAATTGCACGAAACAGAAACTAAACAGCGAGTTCATTCTCTGATTAATCGCTTTAATAGATAAAAACTAATGCATTGACGTTTTAAAATTCTGTTAAGCGTTTCACTATTTTAATTAGATGAATAATTAAATAATTGTATGAGTAATTCGCGATATCGTCGTTCGATGTGCAAAGTGCCATAATGGATACATTATGGCATTTTCCTTGCTTTGCCGAATACCAATTTACAGCAGCAATCTGAATTTTTAACTTTTACAAAAATAGTTGATTTCTCCTGCGTTTTTTGTTTATCATGTATTTAGTACATGTCAATGTTAAGTGACTAAGAAAATATCAGCAATAAAATTGAGAATTTTATAAAAATATATATATTTAAAAATTGTATAAAATATGTATATATTTGATTTTTCCTTCGTTTTTCGCTTATCATGTATTTAGTACATGTCAATGTTAAGTGACTAAGAAACTATCAGCAATAAAATTGTCAATTTTATAAAAATATATATATTTAAAAATTGTATAAAATATATATATCTGATTTTTCCTTCGTTTTTCGTTTATCATGTATTTAGTATATGTTAACGTTAAGTGAACAAGAAAATGTCAGCAATAGAATTGTCAATTTTATAAAATAGAACCGTCTTTTCGATCGAATATTTTAACAGCGACGCTTACTCTTTGACGAGTATACTCGTCGTCGCTTGATTCTCGTTAAAAGGAAACGTCACAGTTAACTGGTTAAATGTACCCAACAATGATACATCTGCGAACCCTATCCGTCGAGTAATTAGGCAAACTCTGTCCCATTCCAGCAGCCTCACTCGAGATGTCGTGGGAAGAACCGCTTGTCGTCGAAGAGGTGTACTTCTACGAGAAGGAGAACGCGACCGCCCATCGAACGATTAATTATGAGTTGGTGCATTTGGACCCGCCGACACCAGTCCTCAGAAGAGGGCAAACATTCAACCTCGCACTCCGATTCAACCGCGATTACGTGGACGCCACGGACGTTGTCCGAATGCTGTTCAGTTTCGGTCCGAACCCGAACGTTCTTAGGGGCACCAGGGGCGTCAACACTGTCACCAACAGGGACACTTATCTGACCGATTTGGAGGCATGGGGCGTGCGAATGGTTGGCATGAGCGGCGTGGACCTGTCCGTGGAGGTCCGGAGCCCCATCGATAGTCCCGTTGGCGTTTGGCAATTGAACGTGGAGACCACCACCGTCGGCAGAAATCGGTCCCCAAATACGTACAACTGCGAGAAGGATATATATTTGCTGTTCAATCCGTGGTTGAAAGGTGCGTCTTGTCGAGATTCAAGATTAAAAGCTGCAATGCTTTTTCTAGCAGCTTTTGAGAGCTCGTAATAGCTTGCAACGGCTTTCAAAGGCTTGTAACGGCTTGAAAAAGCTTCCAACAGCTTGTGAAAGCTTGTCAAGTTCTTTCTAATTAACTTAGATTGTAAAATTCTCCCTAATTGACGCTTAGATTGTAAAGTCCTTCCGAATTGACGCTTAGATTGCAAAATTCTCCCTAATTGACGCTTAGATTGCAAAATTCTCCCTAATTGACGCTTAGATGACAAAACTCTCCCTAACTGACGCTTAGATTGCAAAATTCTCCCGAATTGACGCTTAGATTACAAAATTCTCCTTAATTGACGCTTAGATTGTAAAATTCTCCCGAATTGACGCTTAGATTGCAAAACTCTCCCTAACTGACGCTTAGATTGCAAAATTCTCCCGAATTGACGCTTAGATTACAAAATTCTCCTTAACTGACACTTAGATTGCAAAATTCTCCCGAATTGACGCTTACATTGCAAAATTCTCCCTAAATGACGCTTAGATTGCAAAATTCTTCCTAACTGACACTTAGATTGCAAAATTCTCCCGAATTGACGCTTAGATTGTGCACAAAGGTGGACAATTTCCGAAAAGGAGATCCGATTTTTCGAGCCTTGCAGCTCGTTTTTGTAATCGCTGAGAATCGGAGACTATAAAAAGTCGCCTAAAAGTCACAAATTGTCCATTTTTGTGCACAATCTGTGCGTCAATTAGGGAGAATATACCGTAATTGCTTGTAACAATTAGCGAAGACCAGCACTCTGCGCCGTACGTTCTGGTAAAACTGTTCGCAATGTTCGCAGAGGACCTCGTGTTCATGGAAGAGGAGCAGTTGCTAGACGAATACGTATTAAACGACGTTGGAAAGATATGGGTTGGCCCGTGGGGAAGTTCCCGCGGCAGGGAATGGGTTTTCGGTCAATTTGACGCTTCCGTGCTTCCGGCTTGTCAGCTGTTGCTAGAACGGTCCAGCATCAAGGCCACGTCTAGAGGAGATCCCGTGAAAATGTGTCGAGCCATTTCGAGAATTGTAAGCCGATACGATATACGGTGAATTCTCTACAATTGTCCTTCTGCTTGTACACGAAAATGGATGATTCGTTTTTACAATTGCCGATTGTCAACGACTAGAAAAACGAGGTGCAAATTGTCCAATTTTGTTTAATAATTGAAGGACAATTGGGGAGTATTTATTAAAACTTTCTTTTAATTTAAATTATTGTTGATTAAACTACTATTTATTGAAACTACTTTATAATATTAAAACTATCGCATGCGTTATCTCCATCAAATTCATTTCTGTGAATTCTATGAAGAAGATTTTTCAAAGTACGGGTCTTATACAACATCTGTTAATTTATCATGCTTATTTGTTTCGCCTTTTATTGTCTGTGACGTCTTCGCGTGTTTATAAAGAGGCACGTGTGTTTATTTGGAAAACAGAATATATGTTTAACTTCGTGAAATTCCAAATTCTTCGTAAAATTCAATTCACCATTGAAAAATGGTGACTTAGAAAATGGTGATAAAAATGGAAAATGCATCATATTTAATGCATTTTACCATTTTCATTTATATATATATGTAATACATATTATATTATTATATATTATTATATATAATATATTATATCATTATATGTATTATTATATATATTATCTATTATATATTATTTACCATTTATATATATATATATATATATATATATATATATATATATATATTTGATGCATTTTACCATTTTTCAAAATTACTTAAACATCGACAATTACTCATTATGTTAGAAATTTAAAGCTGTCCCAAACTGAAACCTATAAATGCGCGAAAATGGAAATCCATAAAAATGATTTATAAGATCGAATTACAATCGTTATATGTATATATCTACAGTATCCACGATACGAGCGTAAATTTCCACGAAATCTCTCAGATGAATTCCAACGACGACCAAGGCGTGATCACGGGCCGCTGGGACGGCGAATACGACGACGGCACCGCGCCGGCTGCGTGGACCGGAAGCGTGGCGATTCTCGAGAATTTTTTGGAAACCGAGGAGTCGGTCAAGTACGGCCAATGCTGGGTCTTCGCTGGAACAGTGACCACGGTGTGCCGAGCCCTCGGAATACCGTCCAGGGTGGTTTCGAACTTGGTTTCAGCGCACGACGCGAACGCCTCGCTGTCCGTCGATCGTTACTACGACAAGGACAACGAGGAGCTGGAATACGATCCGAGAAACGACGGTGGCGAGGATTCCATCTGGAATTACCACGTTTGGAACGACGTGTGGATGGCCAGACCGGACTTGCCGAAAGGCTACGGCGGATGGCAAGCTATCGACTCGACCCCTCAAGAACCTTCCGAGGGCGTTTATCAGTGTGGTCCAGCCTCTGTCGAGGCTATCCGGCAAGGTGCTGTTGGATACAATTATGACGTGACCTTCATGGTGGCTTCGGTGAACGCTGACCTTATGAGATGGAAGGAGGACCCGGAGAGCGATTTTGGCTACTCGAAAATCGACTGCAATAAGTACCAGTGAGTATACTCGTCGGTCGACCGCGGATTTTATGCGTTCGTAATAAAAACGGATGGGTGAAATTGCAAACAATGAATATATTGCAAGCATTTATGATTTTTTTTATAGTATTATATAGTATATATTATTATTATAATTATTATTATTACATAGTATTATAT